TACTTAGTCTAGGAAAGGCTGTTGAGCGTATTTATTGCGATAATGGAACTGATGATCTATTCTAGACAGACCAAATGGAGACCTTGTAACACCTTCCGTTATGAGAAAGGTAGTTGTTATTGGAAACTTCCAACCCGGGAATAACATGTACAAATCAACCAGCCGCGTCACGAACCTACAGAGCAACCGCGTTAATAATCTTCAAGGTATGATATTATTACCATCCATAAACCAACTGCTACTAGATAACCAAACATAAATAAAAATGTATATATAATGCTGAGTATTATGACTTTCCATAGGAATGTCTTCACCTATTTTGGGCTCTCAGAGAAGCTTGGASTCTGGACATCCAACTGTTGCTGTAAACCCTTCGCCTCTTTCCTTTAACATTGGCGGGAAGAGAGTGTTCATGAATAACCCAACTGTCGGCCGARCGAACTCCAAGTATAATTCCGATCCAATGCCGGAGTACAATTATAAAGACTCCAAATATGACCTCGAGACGACGTCCGATAGTAGATATGACGAGGATTACCATGACGACAATTTCCATGGTAACAGTTACCATGACGACGACTATGATTATAGTAAAGGTGATGAGTTAGGGAATTTCGATCCTGATGGTGTAAATCCYGATGAGTCTAAAATGACTGGTATTGKTTCTATTGTGGGCAAGAAAGGGCAAAGCTTGATTGATGAGATTGGCAGAAAAGTCTTGCTAAAAATTCTACAGAATCAAAATGAAGGAAATCAAAAGACTCAGTCRTATGCTGGTGGGACAAGTGATTCTACTGGGCAAACTGGTCAGATAGACGTGGACAAAGTGGCGGCGCTCTTGATGGCGCCCAAAAAACCTTCCAATCCTTCCAATCCAGAAGGTGAAAAAATTCTTCAAATGTTAGATCACTTGGGATTGGCTAATACAAGAAAACCAGAAGACGAGACAMMACAAACAAGTTTACCAGTGGTGAATGACTTAAACACTCCACCAGTTAATCCTAACGGCCAGAACACTTTAAGCAAAATTTCCATTGGCGGGAAGTTRAATGACGTCATCGACATTGCCAAGGTGACGCCTACTTCAAAAACTGTTATCATGACAACGCCAGCATTCGCAGAACCGACTGAAGCAGACATGAATATCCAAAACGACCAGCCGATGAATGACGGKGACGTCATATTGAAAATCTCTGGAAAAGGAAAACCGGTGAGTTTCAAAGCCGATACCAGCACCGATGGATCYTTACTRCTAAAAATACCMAAAAARTATTCTGAAGATTTAATTAAGCCTAATGGTGACCTAGCAACGGGCAGCCAAGGGATGGGTGGACAGTCTGATCTTTTGAATCGTGACATCATTAAACTTTTGGCGGGAAAAATCGGCARTGGAATCGATTACAGTAAGGTGATTATCTTACGTTTTACTTAAAAGCAGACGACACCGGCGTCACACTATATCGGCTTTTTTTAATGCACGCGTCATCTATAGAATTGAAGGAGCTCTTGTTCTCAAGAGAACGTTAAAATGATATCATGTTAGGACGATGCGCTCACGACCAAAAACGTTCGCGTGACATCGTCGTCAAATTCGACAGGAAATTACTCTATCATATTACGTCACGTTATTAAGGTTTAAAGATTTTTGTTTGTATTCTTGTAGGCACCTGCAGTTAACCCAGCTCGACCAACAGTAAAACTGACCCTCCCCTCCCTCAGCAGTTTGCTCCAATACAARACAACCGTAAGCCAACCAGATCCAAAGCACGTGTTAAACAGCAACGTAGTCCTCCCTCCACAGGGTATACTACCGAATACCGCTGGACTATCAGCACAGCAGACGCTGAACGATCAAGACAGGTCGCCCCAGAGTCTTATTAAAAGCATTTTTCCTGGTTTAGCTGGTTTGCCTCCCAGTGCACAGAATATTGAAACCCTCATGACTCTTCTCACACGCATGGATCAGCTACCGTCTTCTTATGTCCCAGGGAGCGTTTCKGCATATACTGGGACAGTCCCTGTCAATTACGCCGTGAGACATGGAGTTGGGACACTTGCGCCTACCAAAGCGTTTTCCATGAAGGGTGTGTTGAAGGCCTCTGAGATGGCTGAGGATTCTGCAGTAGTGAGAAACAAAGGGACAACRAATAGAAAAAGTAAAGGGAGAAGGATCTCTCGTACGACTCCATATATGGATGTACATATACAGGGGTCGCTGACGCACATGCAGAATGTCTCTTATGTACATATCACATAGAAAAGAACTTATAAAAAATGTTCAAAGACTAACCTTAAACTGAAAATATTTTCTCAACGGCGAGTATGTCGAAGATTCGAACCCGACACCATTCATTGCATTAAACCCTATATTTCCCTAAACCTAACCATTAAGCCATGAGATCAATTCGCTTGAATAAACCWGCATTTTTGTGTTATTTATGCAAAGGCATTCATGAATATCCAYGTATATGTACATARGATTGTATACATGATAAATGAAGCTTTAATGTGTACATAAGAAGCCTTCAGTACGTGCATCAGTGGYCCTGTATATATGTTCATCCATTTATGGAAGAAGGACGATATTTTCTACTCAGTAAAGAAAAGAAATGTTTACATACTATTGGCCTTTAYTAGAGTCTTGAACTTTGTCCATGTCGAAGTCTGTAGAGTCGCTAGTCTTGACACAAGRAARAAACGCACTACGCATGCGTAAGTCTGAAAAATAATATGGCGGTTCATCGTGAACAGTTTATTCAAACGAAAGGCAAATATATTTCTTCTTATATGCAAAAAAGTTCTTGTATATAGTTGTCCAGGGTATGGAAGGTGTTGAAAATTAAAATGCGCCACTGAGCTAAGGAATTCCATAACTTTGACTATTTTACATTTTGTTTTTACTTTTGTTTTTGTCATTTTGTGCAAGACTYAAACAACGGCATCAAGAATGCTAAATCGTCTGTCCGAGCATRCGCAGTACGTTTCTTCCACACTGTTTCTAGTCCTTATTCAATGTTTATTAATCACTATATCAAAAATGAATAATCAATAATCCTTATAATTTCTTTYCTAGAGATAGGCCAAGAGTCCTACAACTGGACCAAGTGCCCTAGTTCATTATGACGTCACATCAAAACATTCACATCTAACATTCTATATTCTAATCTAAGGATTATGGTCTCCAGAAGGGATCAGAGTGACTGCATATCAAATAAAATGTTCATTAGAAATCATTTATGCATGATATATATCAAAACACGATTCATTGAAGTTCCACTTTAGTAGACAATATAAAYGGGTCCAAATTTCCACTGTTTTTGAGCATCGTTTTCCGRTGTAAACATACTGTGACGTCAAAATGAAATAGGGMAATTATATACCTAAAGGACCACTTACTGTAAAATCATTATTATTATTGCTTTTCCAGAGGGCGATGAATGGTCTCCTTGCACAGCYACCTGTGGCGAAGGCCTCCAAGCACGTGCTTCACCTTGCCAAGGAAAGCACTGTAGCGGATACACAACAGAAACCCGCCCTTGTAACGCTGGGCCTTGTCCAGGTATCTTTAAGTTGTCGTTACTAAAATCTCGTTATAACGCTATAAAATGTGCCTGTATTCATTGGTTGGGCTGCCTGAGGGTACTGTTAACACTTTGAGTAAATAAGAAGATGTCGAGCAGTGAGTTTCTAATCGAAAAACTGTCCGCCATCTTGAAAAGTTAGAACCGATATACTGTGTTGTGCATTAGAACGCATTTGGTAGTTACTAAGTCAACTAATACTGAACCTTAATAATGAACCTTTTGATTTGTTTAGGAGTTTATAATTTAGTGATTTGAGTCCCAATTTTCAAGATGGCGGACGCATTGTTCTCCGAAACTCCTGATACCTGTATGGAAAGCAAGATTTTTTTCTAATGATATTTCAGTTTTTCAATTTTTTTCGCGTCGTCGACTGGCATTCTATCGCCATCACTGTCATCATTTTGTGAATGTTGTATTTTTCAGAACAATTAGCGAAAGCGGGCTTGAAGCTTCACAACACGTTCCGCGTATGGCATCACAGTCCTGCACTGAAATGGTCCTCGTCTTTGGCCAAGAAGGCCCAGAAACTYGCAGACGACTTGGCAGAAAACAGAGACTCTTCTATGACGACAGCTGAGATGAACGAACTTCCAGGCGAAAACATRGCAGTGCTACTCGCTCAAGACTATAACACAGCCGCAGAAACAGCTACTAGACAGTGGTACGGTGAGGTCAAATGGTACAACTTTCTTCACCCCGCCATGACCGATGAAACACGGCATTTCACGCAGGTCGTTTGGAAGTCGACCAAGAAAGCGGGCATTGGTATTGCTAAGTCAAAACTAAATCAAAACGTCTACGTTGTCGCCCTRTACGAYCCTCCAGGGGATATTGAAAGTCAGGGTTTGAAGAAGAACGTTAAAATGCCTGATACGACGCAAACTTAACAAATGTTTCAAGCCGATTGCGTTGTTTGCTATGTTTMCAAGATGTGAATTCGTGGTATCTGTTATTTTGTTATTATACTATAAGGTGGTTTTCATAAGTCCGTGAAAATAAAAAAGTTAAAAAAATAGTTACTTATCTTTATTTTGCACGTTTTTCGTTTTCGTTTCGGTGAATCACATTTTATCACTTTTAAACATTATTTCACTGGTTTATGAAAATCACGTCGAATTTCACATGTGCCGAAACAAATTCATATTTTATTCGACCATGATAATAAAGTCTATTTCATTTAGACGTCGAATTTTAAGTGTCACCAAGATAAATCCCAATCCCCTCTCAATCGCTTCATTTTCCAATACAGCGGATATAGATCAAAGACCACTTTTTCATACGAAGTATTCTAAGAAGTATGTGACACAAAATGAYTGAAGTCGACTTTAATTCACAACTTGAGAATCAATTGATTTATGCGTTGCACTTTCTATGTACAGAAGTCATGAATTGTCTTCGGCACATGAACTTAAATAAATTAATAAAGTTTTCTAGCAATGTTAACATCTCTTTATTAAAAGATATTCTTGGGGCTAAACACGGTCGGTATGSCAATCTTTTTGCAAGAAATATACACTACATTGTATGAACGACATTATCAACCTTACAAATACATGAATAAAAACATAAAATAAAACGAAATCCGCAAAGGATTTTACTCTCCAATTGTCGTTGATTTTATAGAATAATAATATTTATAGAATATTGGCTATTCTTATACAATTCAAGTACATACAGAATAGACCGGAATCTATTTGACAATTCCATATTTCATCTTTTGTTTTACAATCTCAGGGATAAGGCTATACCAGTCTGTGATGAAATTTTAAGATTAGTCGATATCCCATGCATTTATCGACCATTTTTGGCCATTTTGGTGAGCTATAGGCCATGCATTTTGATCAAAAATCGACCATTTT